CATGCATGCATACCATAATATACATACATGCATTACATGCATTACATGCATTACATGCATACATGCATACATGCATACATGCATAAATGCATACATGCATACATGCATACATGCATACATGCATACATGCATACATGCATACATGCATACATGCATACATGCATACATGCATACATGCATACATGCATACATGCATACATACATACATGCAAACATACATACATACATACATACATAGATACATACATACATAAATGCATACATACATACATACATACATACATACACAGACATACAGACATACAGACATGCATACATACATGCATGCATGCATACATGCATACATACATTACATACATACATACATGCATACATACATAGATATGAATCTGTACGCACACACACACATATTTCTTTATCTTTACCCACGCATGGACATATATCTTCACATATATATATATGTTTATATACACATACCAATCATCGCCTGACAAGCGGGTCTGGCATCCTGTCGAAAGATCAATCGAATCCACATCCCGCAGGAGCTGCAGCTGGGTTTCAAGGGTGAGCTGACCATGAGCGAAAACATGGAGCCTTAGATGCAGCCACCCAAGCGCCAAAAATATTGGAACAATTGCATTTCACCACCATTTTATGTCATTTTGTTGGGCCAAAAAGCTAGGCACATCAGAATGTATGCGATTTTCCACCATGGTAAAGACGGTCAAGATAATTGTTTAACACACACACACACATGCACGCAGACGCAAGCACACGTACCTGAAATGGGATGCTGATCCATTTGACTAACATTCCTTTTTTGGGCGCATTAGCAATCACAAGGCCGTAGAAGATACAAGGCATCTATTGGTTGGTAATGGGCTGGGCGAAGCTGTTGATGGGTAGCGCCTGGTGCCAGGAAGACATGGCCAAGTGTCTGTATTCCGAAAAGCTCCCGACCTGGCACCTTGGGCTTTACAGCTGCATGCATGGCGGGCTCTGCTGGCCATTGCTGCATTCAGACGGCCAGACTGACTTGGAACTAAAGTCATGTGTTGAACCTGTTTGTGAAGAAAATCATTTCCATCACCAAGGTGGGTGAAATTGGGTTTCGCCTCCACGCGGCCGCTGAAGTCTTGGCGCGTGAACCTGCAGGCGGGTCACCATTTTTGGTAAGTTTGTGAAAGCCTGTGAAGAGATTGGTATGCGCAGATCCTATGAAGATCATCAGAAGCATTTTTACAATGTGCATGTGTCATTTGGTAGGTTCCCTGCTCAACAAGTTACCTTCATTTTGGGAGTGCCCGCAGCCGATTTTTAGAGCTTTGCCGCGACAGGAGCGCTATCAGCAGCTGGATGACTGGATCAATGACCCACTCAACATCCCCAAGGCACATGCAACCCCTGTTCCAGGGGTTGGTGGTAAGGTGCGGCAACCATGATTGTAGATTTCGTAATCTGGCAAGCTCTAGCAAGACCCACAGGTAAATCATTATAAAGTGGAGGTAAATGAGTTTTCTATCTAGTTTACGTGCTGTTACTAAAGTGCGCAAACAACAAGCCAATGAACCACCCCCAATGACTTGCCAAAAATGGGTTGGAACCATGCAGTACCATACCCAGTTGGGTGTTTCCATGAAGTTTGCCACACAAGTTTTGCCACCGCTCATGACTCGGAAACGTTGCGCAGATCCTGCTTGATGGCGTGAGGAAATTTGTTGACGGCCTGCTTGCAACCGCCTTCCCCTATAACACCTGTACTATCAATTTTTTCCCCGAATGCGTAGCGAAGGGTTCTCGTTTTGCTTTGAGGGTCTGGGGGTTGAGACATGTTCGCTGGACGCTGCTTTTGTGTTCGCAAACCGTCTGCAACCGTCGGCAGCACGACCGCGGTGGGGACCCTATAGTCGTGCCTATGGGGAGTGCTGCAAAAGTGGCCACTTTGGAGGTTTCAAACGTTGTGTAACCTCGTTGCAAGCGTGGCACTTCCCGACATGTCAACATGTTTCATAACGCGTCAAAAAATCGTTCTGTGTGACACTCGCAATACTGTCGCGAGGTTTTCAGAAGATGACTTCCATTTTTCGTGGCACGCGCAACACTTTGGATGTGTCCATCTGGATGTTGCGTGGCAGGCGCAGCACTTTAGAGACTTCCATGTCCATTTTGCGTGGCAGGGGCGGCGCTTTGGACGTGTCGTGTCGTGTTGCGTGTTTTTGCGAATCGCAGTGTCGGGGCTGCATCAAGTGGTGACAATGTGCAGATTGCATGGCAGGCATGGCGTTTTGGGACATGTGATGAAAATGGACACAAGCATCGCACGAAACGTCGATTTTGAGGTAGCAGATTTTGGGCTTCATTAGCAAAATTCGTAAGAAAACGTCGAATTTGTAGCTATTGTGAAAAAAATTGAGGAAGTCTCCTGCGAAATGCCCGTTTTGAGCTTCCAACATGTCTTGTCTCGATTCTTTGGTTTCGTTCCTCCATTTTTGAAGGTTTTACAAGGGGTTGTAATGGCGCTTCTCGTGACAGACGTGGCACTTCGTGATATTCCGACGTGTTTCATAACGTGGCAAAGGTTGTTTTGCGTGACAGGGGCAGTACTTTAGCATCGTTTTCAGAAGATGACTTTCATTTTTCGTGGCAAGGGCAGCATTTTGGCGCAGCACTTTTGACGTGTGGTGTTGCGTGTTTTCTGCGAATCGCAATGCCAGGGCTGCGTGACAGCGGGCAAATTGTGCGGCAGGTGCCAGTATCATGAGAGCTTCCTTTGGCGTGGCACGCGCAGTATTTGGTGCAGATCCGTCGTGTGTGGAATGTCATGTTGCGTGCCAAGCGCAATATTTGGGCGCTCTGCACTTTACACTTTGCACTCCGCACTCTACACTTTACGCTTTACACTTCCCACTTTACGCTTGACATGCCACACTCTACACTTTACACTCCACACTATACACTTTAAACTCCACACACTGAACTTTACACTTTGCACTCAGGTCACTCCACACTCCACACTCTACAGTCTATGCTCTTCACTTTACACTATTTTGCCCTCCACACTTTACACTTGACAATCAACACTCTACACTCCACACTCTACACTTTACACTTTTGCAATTCGCACACTACACCTGGCACTCTACACTTTACACTTTACATTCCGCAATCTACACACTACGCTTTGCACTTCACACTTCGCACTTTACACCTGGCACGCCACCCTCTACACTTTACACTTTACACTACGCTTAACTCCACACTTTACACTTTACACTCCACACTCTGCACTACACTAAACTTTACACTTTACACTTCACACTTTACACTTGGCACTCCCCCCTCTCCACTTTACACTTTTCACTTTGCACTTCCGCTCCACGCTCTACACTTTACACTTTGCACTCCACACTATACACTTTACACCTGACACTCCACTCTACACTTTACACTGCACACTTGGCACTCTACATTCTGCACTTTATACTTCGCAATTTCCACTTAGCACTTTACATTCCACACTCCGCATTCTACACTTTACACCCCACATTCTACACTCCACACTTTAAACTTTAACACTTGACACTCCACACTCTGCACTTTACACTTTACACTTGGCTCTTGGCACTCCACACTTTACACTTTGCACTCCGCACTGTACACTGTACACTTTACACACTGCACTTCACACTTTACGCTTTACATTCCACAGCTTGCACACTACACTTTACACTTTACACTTCACACTTTACACTTGGCACTCCCCCCTCTGCACTTTACACTTTTCACTTTGCACTTACGCTCCACACTCTACACTTTACACTTTGCACTACGCACTCTGCACTTTACACTCCACACTCTGCACTTTACACTCCACACTCTACACTTTTCACTCCACACTGTGCACTTTACACTGTGCACTCCACACTCTACACTTTACCCTTTACACTTTAAACTCCGCACAGCGCACTTTACACTTGACACTCCGCTCTACGCTTTACACTCTAAAGTTCGCCTTTTACACTTGGCACCCCGCACCCCGCACTCTGCACTTGCACTTTGCACTCCACACTCTGCACTTTACACTTCGCAATTCGCACTACACTTTGCACTCCAGACTCCACAGTCTACACTTTACATTCCACCCTCTACACCTTACACTTTACACTCCCCACTTTGCACTTTACACTTGCCACTTTGCACTCCGCAATCCCCACTTCATATCCTACACACTACATTCCCCACGCAACACTCCACTGCCAATGCTTTGGCCTTCTTCTTCACACACACAATTATACATTTGTACTGTTAGTCGAATCAGCACCCTCGTTTGTCATTTTGTTTCTGTGGTTGCATTTTGAAAGGATGACACGCACAAATCAAGAAGCGTTGTCAAAAGGTTTGGGTTGCAGGGTTGTGACATGTCTGATGGCCTTCCAATGCGTTGCCCGTGCTTCAACGATGATATGGTTCAAATCAACAACACTGCGCGCTTGCAATTTTTTCCAGGTCTTAGGCGCTCAGTTTTAAAAGACTATTCATTCAGTAAACCTTGCCAGGAAAAAATGGCCACTGGCCAATATATATATATTATATATATTATATATATATATAAACATAAACATATTTATATAAAGGAAAGTAGCGCTTGGTAGCCTCCTTCAGGCCGGGCTAACAGTTTGGCATGCCTTCAGGGTTTAGCCTTCCACGGGCTCAGGTCGTGGACATCTCCAAGCTCTTCAATCCACAGAGTTATTTGACGGCCATCAAGCAGATCTGCTGTCAGAATCAGGGTTTGGAACTGGACAAGTTGCAGGTCTTCACTGAAGTCACCAAGAAGGAACCCAAGCAGATCGAGGGCCCGTGCAAGGATGGCGCTTATGTGTCCGGGATGTTCCTGGAAGGAGCTCGCTGGGATATGACTTCAAATTCATTGGAAGATTCCAAACCCAAGGAGATGTTTACAGCTATGCCGGTCATCACATGCAAAGCAGGCATCTCGCGCTCACATTTATTTTGTGCCAGTGAAATTTAGTAGTCTCATTCTACCAAAACTATCCAACATTTGGCTTACACTTCAAATTCACAGTGAAGACTCAAGATTCCATCTTCATTGGCCGACAATTGCAAGGGTCGTGTCCACTGCTCCATTGAAATTCAATTGAACCAAAGATGACCAAAGATGACCAAAGATGTCCATGGTCGCTGTTGTTGTTTCCCCATGGGCGATTTTCTTCAGGCATGGCCACCGACAAGGCGGACAAGAACATCTACATCTGCCCCACTTACTGCGTCCCCACGCGTCGTCCTTACTTCGTCTTCGCAGCGCAGCTGCGCACCAAGGCGCCGGCCGACAAGTGGGTGCTGGCAGGAGTGGGCATGATTCTGGACATTGGACTTTAAGGCACATGGCAGTACCGACCCCAGGATCTGCGTACCTGGCGTAGCTGCAGTGGGGACTTTTGAGACTTTTTGAATTTGTGTCTTGCGAATTCTTGCGACATCTTGCGACCAGATCGGCACTGCAGATGCGCCCATGACATTAGTCACATTTGAAGAAGGCAGTGCCGCTGACGATGTTGTTGTTGTTGTTCTTCTTCTTCTTCTTCTGTGGTTGTGGTCGTAGTCGTGGTCGTTATTCTTCTTGTTGATGATGTTGTTATTGGACACCTGTGAGCTTGCGGTAGCACAGACTGTGAGCTTTACTTCTGCATTGCCCGCTTAGGCTTTGCGTACAGATGTCGGTGTTTGCCAAAGACGGTGCCAGCTGAGTGGCCTGTGTGCTCACAGTAGTATATCAATATGTATCAGGTGTGCTTGCGAATGAATGTTGTAAGACTACCATGCTTGAAATGTTTGTGAACATTGTGAACAAATATGATCTATGGCATAGAGCGGAAATAAACATCATACACTTACTGCTGTGAGATTTTCTGGAGCCTTGTTTCTCCGTCCTCGAGGCTTTTGCATGATGTGAATGCTAAGAATGCTAAGAATGCTTCGTTTGTAATTTCGCTTAAGGCGAAGACATGAAGCTCTGTAGATGTTTGGGCTGGGTGTTGCATGCGTTCTTGCAATCCGAGCGTTCTAGCAACAGTCCAGCAACAGTATCATATTCAATTCACAGACTGCTATCAAATACGGACTCCACCCAGCCACTGCAGCATGACAGATGAAACTGGCTGCGCTGTCTGACTCAGACGACAAAGAACGAACTCCGACAGACTCAGATGCGCTGGACAAAATTTCATTAAACAACATATGGTCATAGCCTTGCACTTGCGTTTTTAAATTCTCCTTAGGTCCTTGCACGGGGGTTCTATTCAATGTGGATGGCCGTCAAATTGCTGCACTACCCGCAAATGTTTTATTTCCAGAGTAAGTTGTGGAAAAAGCGGCCAGGATATTTGAACCCTGCGTGTTCCACAGCTTTGTCAAGCCCTTCAAATTTGAACCTGGCCTCCTTTTTTGGCTCCAGCGGTGTTCGGAGCAGAGTTCGGTGGAGTCGGGACCTGCGTGGGCCCGAACAGCTCTGCGCAAGTAAACCATGGCGGAAGCAGGCGAGGGTGCCGCGAAAGGTGTGGAGGCACGTACACTATGGGCGCTCAACCGGCTAATGGTGCTGCTGGGCGTCAGGGCTGAAAAAGCCGACAAGTTTCTGAGTGGTTTCACCACCGAAGAGACCTCCGCCAGAGCAATCGCGCGTTTCATGGATGATCCAGAATGTCCTGCATGCTACTTTGCCCCTACCAGTGAATCTGTGTCCTGCACAATAGACCTTCCGTCAGCTCAGCAAATGAGAAAGAAGGTGGTTGCAATGCACAGATCAAGTCCAGAAGTTCAGATTTCCAAAGAGAACTTAGCCGAATCAGTCATTTTGATGGAGATGACCAAAAATGTCATGGACCTGCTGAACATGTATTGTCAGTCGGTGTACCTTTCTACCCTGACCAACCCTGCAAACCAGGCCGGTTGGTCAGATCTGATTGCCAAAGACCTCATGGACAAGTACCATGTCTTCCTTGCAAGCTTGCACGTGACTGTGGGCCTGATGAAAGGCCACACATGGCTACCTCACCCTCCTAGAGATGCCTTGCCGACCAGCGGTGGCATGGCAGCTGCTGGTGGCGGTGCCGGATCCTCTGGAGGTAAGGACAAGGTTCACGTGCTGGAAGGAGCCGTGATTACCTGGACCAAGCAGATCAGGCACGTTCTGAAGCAAGATCCGGAGGTCCTGCTTAAGGATGGCAAAAATCCAGAGCCAAGTGCTGAGTTGAAATTCTGGCGCAGCAAGGCCGCCAATTTGAACTCCATCCACTCTCAGCTGGGAATGGACGCGCTCAAGAAGGTGCTGAAGTTCTTGGAAACAAACAAGAGCACCTACACTGCGCCGTTCTCCAAGCTCCAGAAGGAGGTGGAGGAAGCTCGAGAAGAGGCCAACGACAACGTCAAATTCCTAGCCAGCTTGACGAAGTCCATCGACAAGTTAACCAGCGACAGCGCTGACTTTGAACAGCTTGAGCAGTTGTTTGAGCCCATCCTGCACAACATTTTGCTCATCTGGCGCTATTCCAAATTCTACACTACCCCTACTCGCATGGCTGTTGCTAGGGCATGCAACAGAGAAAGGTGGTGCGTTCAAGTTAAACTGACCTAGGTGGCCAGAGAGGGGGTGAGTTGGACTGTTGCGGTTATTTTGTGTCCTCCCTTGCTGAGGTTCTGATTCGAGAGATTTGTAACTCCATCATTGCCCAAGCTGTGCGATACATCAACGGCGGCGACATTTTCACCATGATCTCCTCGGAGGAAACGGTGGAGTGCTACGCCAAGTTGGAGAACACGTCCAGGATATGCACAGCTTTCAAGGCCTGTGGGTGGAAGAAAGCTGCTGCCATTCTAAAGGTTAGTTACGGTCAGTTTGGAAACAATTGGGTCTTAGAATTCAAAACCTCTCAAAGGCCCTTGAACTCTATCAGAATCGATTAGAATGGATCAAAATGGTCCGTTGTAGTGGGAAACCCGGTGCTTGATCTGGTTGACCGAAGTTTGCAGTTTGATTCAACTCTACCAGGATTGCTATTTGCTCTTCAGGGACATTGCAGCAAACCAAGACGGCACAGGTTGGGGAAGCTGTAGCAGGTGATGATGAACCATGATGAATGACAGGGGAATTATATCATTGGATACTATTGTATAAATAACTCAATACTATATTTACATATACACATGCATATAACTCATATAGCACTTGTGATTATATCTACAGATCGCATGTGCGATCTGTATATATATATATACATGTATATAATTATGTACTATATATAGGGATCTGCAACAGCTCGCCCTCAGCCTTAGCTGAACCTTCGGGATGGCGATGGAGAGATAGGGATCTGCACACACGCACATACATACATGCAAATGCATAATATGCAATTTAACACTGAAATTATCTTATACCTACTCCAATTACATACTTGGGGTATTTCAAGTTACATTGGCTTAGATCCACTTCGAAGGCCTCAACATAGGCATGTCACCAACAATTATGGTTGTATGGCAGGTGTGACTTCAGCCACCAACCTGTTTGAGCGCCCAAATTGGTTGGCTTACAGCGCACAAATCAAAGGGTAGGTTGAACACTGATCCAGTGTGATCCATCAGTTTGATGCATCGATCCAGAGCCACGTTCCCGTCCCAGGTTGGAAGATGAAGAACGACGCCCTGTTTGTTCGACTCGATTCCTTCATGGACCGATGTCGGGATGCCCTGGATTTCACCCGGACCGTGATCCAGTTCTCCAAGTTGGAACGTGTGGAGATCGGTGGCACCAAGGGCAAGGTGCCTTGGCTGAACAAGCGGCATAAAGCGGCATCAATAGCAATCAAGGGCTCAATGGGGTGCATTTCAGCAGGGACGACAATTGTTTGCGGCGTTTGCGGCAAGTGAACTTTCATGTTGGCTTTGCTTGTGACACAAACCTTTTGACACGGATTTTCTGTTCTTCAAGTGGATGCATCACGCCCTGGTCGGAACCCAAGCACAAAGTGTCGCGCATTTTTTTCCTTCATTTTTTTGGATCCTGGATGCTCTGCCCAGGTCCTTTCGGACTGCGTGGTTGCCATCCGGGAAGAGTTCATGAAGTGCGTGGACACTTTCAAGAGTGTTTCCTATGACATCATGGATGTTGGTGAGGTGCAGTTTGAGCATGACTACTTCAAGTTCCGCATGACAGTGAAGGATTTGGACCGTCGTTTGGGCAGCCTTCTTGCATCAGCATTTGACGACTTGGACACCATCAGCATGCGAGTCAAGCTGTTTGACATTTTTGAGGGGCTGCTGGAGCGTCCAATCATTCAAGCTGAGCTGGAGAAGAAGCACAAAATGCTGCTGCATCAAGTGGAGCAAGATCTCACTGCCGTGGAAACGGGCTTTGTCGAAGCAAAGGACAAAGTGGATCAATGCTACGACGATGCGCCCATTTTTTCCAATCTACCACCTGCAGCCGGCGCCATCTATTGGGCTCGGTGCTCTAGGCATCGAATCAATGATCCGATGAACAAACTTGCCTTCTACAACCTGGCCCTGAGGGAAACACCAGAGGAGTTCCGAGAAGTCAAGAAGCAGCATCAGACTTTAGACAACATGTTAGTAGCCTACGAACAGCAGCGGTACCAGACCTGGGAACAGACATCAGTGGAGGCTGCCAAGGAGAAACTGAAGATGAGACTCCTGCGAAGGCAAGAAAAGTCGGGCCTGTTGAAGGTCAACTTTGATCCTGCCCTCGTGAGACTTCTTCGAGAGGTGCGCTTCTTTTTGATTTTTGACATCGAAGTGCCACCAGCAGCCTTAGAGATGTTCAGCAGGGTGGCGACCTACAGGCAGTGGGTGGCACAGTTAGATCATATTGTCGGCATGTACAACGCTGTGCTGACGGAGTTGCTGCCAGTTGAAGAGCCTTTGCTGGAGGATCGCATTGCAAAGATGGACCAAGTATTGTCTCCTGGCCTCACCGAACTCAAGTGGAAGAGCGAAGACAAGATCCCGGAGTTCATCGAGAACACCATGCGCGTCGTGAGCGATGTGTCAGGTGTGGTTGAGATCATGAAGGGTCCCTCGGCATTGGGTTGGACTAACATATGTCAGCATTCCTACCGGTACTCTCTAGATGCACATAGTTTTTTGCTACTGGTCATGCTGTCATGCTCGGTGATCCAGACCAATTAACATCGAGATCCTTAAGCATCCGAGGTAACCTCCGCTCCATCTCCGGCATTCTGTCGCAGTGGTGCAAGGAGCCAATCATCTCGCGTGCCAAAGGCTCCAAGCCCATGGCACTGGATGAGTTTGATCTCAAGCACAAGGAGCGCGTGGGCATGCGCACCTTGATCCAATATAGGACTGAT